TTCATACGATTCCATCCAACGTGTTGCAATAGGTTTCCAAACGTGTGCAACACGTTGAGCGCAGCTATGTTGCAAGATGTTGCGTTGAGATGCATGAGTGTGACCACCCCTTCACAGCTCAGCTTGACAAGATCAAAGTTTCGACAGGCGACAAAGAATTTCGCGTAATCTGTGGAAATAGATAACCGTATCAAAAAATGACTTGATAATTAGTAAGTGAGCCTTGTCTATTATTCATATTAGGATCTTCAAATCGACGATCATCAGCGGCAAGCAACCGAAGTCAAGAGGAAACTGTACAGCGACGCCTATCCGAAAGTCGACCTCACGACGGGCAACGGCGTTTATCCGAAGTAAGCCGAATCAGTCATGAAGAGCAACGAATGAGAAAGAGATCAGAAGGTGAGTGGAACCAATTTTCATTGGTAGGTACATTAAAGGCGAGCCACTTGAAACTGGGTCCAAGGAAAAGGCTTTAAATTCTCGTCTCGCAGTTTGATCTTGAGAATGTATTCAGAGATTAAACTTCATCTCAATTTTTGCAAAATTCGAAGCATAAAGATACCTCTTGAAGTTCCATTGCAGTTTTTAGAAAAAAGGTCACTGTTGTTGTTATTTGTTTTGACTTAGTCAGTTAAAACACTGGTAACATGTTAGTATTTAACAAATCGACAGTGGTTTACCGTCAAGGTAGTCTTTACTCTTATCAAAGACGATATTCGTCATCACAGTGGTCAAAATGTTGTGGACTCACTAGGCGCCGCCAGGAAATTCTCGCGCAACTTTAGCTGTCTTTTCTTTCGATTGCTACGTTTGTATAACGGGCAACTTTATCTGTCTTTTGATTGTTACGTTTATATCTCGCGCAACTTTAGCTGTCTCTATTGTTACGTTTGTACCTCATACAACTTTAGCTGTTCCTACATTTTATTGTTACGTTTATATCTCGCGCAACTTTGGCTGTTTTTTTATTCGATTGTTACGTTTGTATCTAGCGCAACTCTAGCTTTCCTCTCTTTTGATTGTTACGTTTGTATCTCGCGCGACTTTAGCTGTCTTTTCTCTTGATTGTTACGTTTGTATTTCGCGCAACTTAAGCTGTCTTTTCTTTCGATTGCTACGTTTGTATCTCGCGCAAGTTTAGTTGTCTTCCTTTCATAGTCACGTTTGTTTTCAATTGAAAGGTATATTTCATAGTCCTCTGCAAATTAATTAATCTTCAGACCGCTTTACTTTTATCGATGAGTTGTGCTAGTATGGGAAATTTTTAATTTTTCAAAGCGCCATTCAGTTTCTTGCCCCTTCGAAGAGAAGAGAAGAGAACTGAACGATTCGCTTGAGGTGACTCGTACCAGTTTCCTCGCGCGGGGAACAGATCATTCTTGCGTCACGCGCGAGAGAACCTCGCGAAAGAAGCGCGAGATTAAAAGAAGAAAATTTAAAACAAAGATGGCGGTGCGAGGATTTTTTTTCTACTTATGTGAGAAGTTTACCTAAGAGCTTGTATTTTGATGTGTTGAGTGGCCACTGTGAATGCAGGAGATAGAAACTAAGATAACGAAGACGATTTTCGGAGAAGTAAAGGTTGCTTCACTTCACATTTAAAGGAAGGAAATTTGCGATGTGTGAAAATTGCCCTTTTTGTAGATTTTCTGAAATTCCGCTCCGTAGAATTTTTTAAAAATCTTTGTGCATTTTCCTTTTCAAGTGCCAAAAGCAATCACTGAAAAAAATCAGGGGGTCACCGGGTTAGTTTTCGAATTATTTAAGCCACAAGCTAAAAAATGCGTCTGAATAAGCCTATGAAAGCGTTGCCATGGAAACTGCTAGTGACGAAATGACACTTATTTTTGGATAACCAATGATTATGTAATTCAACCCCGTAAAAGTGTTCAACTGGCCTTGGTCAGTCTTTCTGTTGTATTCTTTCAAAGTTACAAACCATCAAAAAGATGAAAACCGGTACGAGCCACCTTAAGATAAGACGATTTTCGGAGAAGTAAAGGTTGCTTCACTTCACATTTAAAAGAAATATTCAACCGATATGAAATCTTGCGACGGCGAAAAAAGAAGAACTCAAGTGAAGGATAATCTACCTGAAGTGGAAGAAGACTTTGAAACTTCAAGGAAAATAATATGATATAGCCAGAAGTCATGTGTAGGATTTTTAAGATGAGCTCGGGAGGCTGTCTTTGACGGCTGTTTAATGATTTTCTTAGCAGTAAACGTCTGTAAACATCAGATCGTAGGTGCTCGCGCGAGCACACGCAATTGTCAGCGGTAGCTAAAACAGATCATGAGCAAATGTCGATCTTATAGAATCCAGATTTTTAAATGCGCGAGAACGCGCGTGGAAATTGCTAAACTCACGAAAGCTATTGCATGAAAACAAGTCCGGTGACCCCTTCTTTTTATTGTTCCAATATGATAATAACGTCGAAAGGAATCATCAGAAAAAAAACTAGAAAATTCTACGGAAGGAAATTTGCGATGTGTGAAAATTGCCCTTTTTGTAGATTTTCTGAAATTCCGCTCCGTAGAATTTTTTAAAAATCTTTGTGCATTTTCCTTTTCAAGTGCCAAAAGCAATCACTGAAAAAAATCAGGGGGTCACCGGGTTAGTTTTCGAATTATTTAAGCCACAAGCTAAAAAATGCGTCTGAATAAGCCTATGAAAGCGTTGCCATGGAAACTGCTAGTGACGAAATGACACTTATTTTTGGATAACCAATGATTATGTAATTCAACCCCGTAAAAGTGTTCAACTGGCCTTGGTCAGTCTTTCTGTTGTATTCTTTCAAAGTTACAAACCATCAAAAAGATGAAAACCGGTACGAGCTACCTTAACCGACGAGGGCAATATTTCCTCATTTTCGCATAAATTCGCCCGAGTAAGCGATTGATCTTGAAATAAGAGCAGAAACATAAGTTCGAGAAGGAAAAGGGAGACCTTCGATTGGCTATTTGGTAATATCAATAAGGTTTTTCAAACAAACACCTGACACAGACAAATAGAACTGATAAACTGCAATAAACAGGGATATATATCACCAGTCATCAGCCGGTAGCGGAAGATCATCACAACAAAGCGGAATACGTTTGATTAAATTAAATTTACTAACTCGAGATGCAAACGTCAAAGCCGTCTTTGTAGAGCACGCACATTGAATATTCAAGAACAAATAGCGCTTATTTTCAGTCTGTAAGACTTTTGATTCATCATGTCGGCAAAACCAGTCGAAAATAGTGGCCGTGAACTGAAACCGAAACACAATCGATCTGCTGCAAACAACCGTTCGCCGGCTTCAGAAAGGCGCTCCAGACGAACTGCCAAAGGAGACAAAGAGACAAGTAATATGTGTGAGTAATATGTTCTTTGCCATGGGCTATCATAAAATTGCCGAACAGGACGGTTCAATGATTCGATATCTAGGACTGCAGAATAGGGCAACTAGCGGATCAATGAATTGACTAATTTGAAGAGCAGAAAACCCCAAAAAATCAAAATTTAAATACTAATCTAAAGAAGGATCAATAATATTGCCACACGAGTTCCTTTGAATTCATTTTGACATCACCTCAACAGTAGATGATAAACGTTAAATTATTTCAGATTCATCTAACAAATGAAACTCTCGCCATCTCGCCGAATTGAGGAAAGGGATTGAGTCACATACCCGTAGGATAAACTGTGCTTTTTCAAAGAGTTTTAAATTCTTAACAGCGAACTTGGAAGTAGCCGCCTGACTTTGGTAATTAAAAACACTCCCTTTGGCCGTTTTTTCTTTTTCTTTTTCTTTTTTTTTTTTTTTTGCGGCAAATTTGCATTTTTGGAGATTTGGTCATAAATAGAGCTAAATCGGAGTCGTTAAATTCATAGCGGGCTCGGTTTCAGTTATCTAAAATGGGATATGCTTTTCGACGTTTTTATCTTTTGGTTAAAGAAGACAATCGCTGGAAAGAAAACGAAAAAAACAACAATGTAAATGTTATCAACTTAACAACACTGTGTATATGGAAGCTCTTCATACGTAATCAAGAAACAAAGCGAATTTGTCCAGGTAGATATGAAGTAATTGTTAAATAGTTCAACTAAAAAGAAATTACATATGACAGTTATTCATTAAACTGCGAAAATTTATTCAATATTTAATTTCAATGAGCCTATATGATATTATGAAAAGTAAATCAATTCTCCAGCCCTTCCAGGTGACAACTCAAAAGGTGTCAGTTTGTCACTATGGAGGCGTAATGAATAAATAAGCTTCAAGCTTTAATATCCATGACAACGCATGTCGCAAGTTGAGCATGGAATTTTCTAGAAAAATATTAATTTTTTCTATGCACCACTCTCGTCATTAGATGGAAAAACGTCTTTCTGTATTTCACTACCGAGTTCGAAAATTACCCGCGAAGCTCGCGTGTTTCGAGCCCGCCGCGTGAGGGACGTGGAGCGAGCGTGCGAGAGGTCTTCGATACCCTTCCTCAGGCACGCTCGCTGCGCTCGTGGGTTTCGCTGCGCTCGTTGGTTTCGCTGCTCGTGCTACAGCGTCAACGAAAGCCTAAATAAAGTCGCGGGATGCCACTGTAAGACGCGATTTAGATGCAGCTTAGATGAGTGCCGGAAAGCTGATTTGCATCGAGTTTCACGACAAACTATCGAAGCAGACCCCTTTAGAGTATTTGAATCAGAATTTTTTTTGTCTCACAGAAATCACAACTGAATTAAATAAATATCTCTCTTTTTTAAGACATTTCTCATTAAGTCTTGACAATTTCATTGGTCAGTTTCTCAGCTATTGCATCAATAATAAAAAAAACATGACCTTCTACGGGACTGGTTCGACGTATGTCGCACAGCGTAGTCAAGCCGAATAAAAAACATTTGAAATGTAAATTTACAGCGATGTGGACTTACGATACTTGTCATTAACACAAGGAAATTAAAGTGCTTTGTTAAATCGTCTTATCATGATTATCTTTTTTCCTCATCTTTCAAACTTAATACCGCCCCCGAAACTAAGTAAGCTCGATAGCTGTCGATGTCTTCAGCGAGGGGCTCCTATCAACAATCTCTGATGGTAAACAAGCCTTCTCTGACAGCGATAGCAGATGTTACTTTCACCCTGCAGGCTTTTAACAACTGCAGAATATTCTCTCTGCCGTATCGATACAGCTTCCTGTTCGTTCATAAGTGCAGTTATAACAGTTTGCTTGTTCAACGGTTTCGTGTGAATCTTGTACCTCGCGCGTCGAACTTAACGATGAGTTTGAGCGGGATGTATAACGGATCCCCGGGAGGTGGTAAGTGTATGAGTTATCTTTGAAACAGAAACTTTCTTTTTAATACGAGACTCGCATAATTTGAATATTATTCGCTTTGTTACGGATAGAAAAAAATTACAAGAAAATTCCAAAGTAGATTCAATTTTTTTGCTGAGACAATTCTGATATTACTTTTTTTTTTTCATTCAATCTACCTGCCACAGAAGGACAAAAGCTTACTTTTATTAGATCACAACGCGCTGATACGTCTCCAGCGAAGATAAATTCGCTAAAAAAACGCTATAGAAATGATAGCAAACGACAGCGTTTTTAATTCATCAGTTTATCAAACCATTGTAGGCATCGGCACAACATTTAATCATAAAGCCAACGGCGCCTTAAAATGTGCCGTATTTCCTATTAGTGACTTAAGAGTGAGATTCGAGAATTTTCACGGCTCTCGATGATATTTAAATTATAGGGAGTGGAAAAAACTTCCCTTATATAAAGTGACATAGTTTGAAACTACTATCCGGCAAAGTATGAAGCGTATGATCAGGTTTTTAAAAAATACGTTTTGAAAGCAAAATTAAAACTTACATAGAACTCTTTGTATTTAAAGGAGACTCACAAGGAGATTAAAGTTACTTGAACCTTATTTTGTCTGTCAAACGCGCCAGTTGAAGTAGCCACTTAGAACTTATCTAATTTCTAGAGTATGTTTGTTGTCTCGCAAGCGTGGGGTAAGAAGTTGCGAACGTTTGCTCATTCATTATTTAAACTTTCCTGTCACGTCCTATCAAGCCGTGGCTTTTAACCAACTTGTTAACAAAACTCGATCAGTGACACCAGCGATTTAATCCAAAATTATTGCACTTGATTTGTTCAAGCTTTTAACAAGTTTTGTGACAGGGAAATGTCGGGCACGACTTTGTCGAATTCTTCGTCAGGGCGTCCAACAAATCGAAGGCGAAAGAAAACAGGTATATGGAAAGAGTTTGTTTCTCTTTCCAGTTTAATCATATTCAGATGATAAAATTTAACTGGCAAATTTTTTTTAATTACTGTAACAATATGAAATTGTGGAATTTTCACTAAAACCCAAGCCAAGAATTCATTTAGATTTATCAAGCGTTTAACGAACGAAGCTGTTTAACAAGCGTTTAACGAACGAAGCTGTTACTTAAAAAGTTTTTCTGTGTAGAGATGATGCATTGCTCTCTAGCACTACATTGAAAAGTTATAGAAGCATGAGAAAAATAAATGGTGCTTTATCTCATTGAGAAAGCTGTGAAAACCAATTCAGCAAAATTACGGCATTTTTCATTTTTTCATAGAGCAACTGATTGAATTAGTCGCTTGAACACACAGTTTCTACGCAACTTGTCATCATCAATTCGGTATGCACCGTTTATAAAACGGTGTTAGTTAATCAAACCACAAACTATGCTGGTCTACAGCATCTTCATTATTTATTTTTGTTTGCAAGACTACTGCGTTTTGTGAGTCGAAGTATTCCCGTATCCTTCATGAATGAAAACAATCCTGGCCAAGCAACGAAACTTCGATCAAAATTGGAAATAATTATATGTATATCTATCTTTACAGTCATTGGCTTTGCATCGAAAAAAAAAAAGCGTAAGTTACTGCAGGTTTCCAGACATTTTAAAACTGTAAAAAGTCAGAACAACTTAAGTTGGAAAATTTCAAAATAAACAGAAAATCAAAAACAAAAAGAAACAAAGAAATTAACATAACCAAACTTTAATAACAGCTTTTATGTAAATTTCCAGATTCAAACCTTAAATCGGCTCCTGTTTCATCGCACAGAATTCTCAAATATGGAATAATGTCCACTGGTCATATAACCGGTTTTATTAAAAACTGGATCATTGGATAATGCAATTTAAGACTTTTCAGATATGATGAATATATGAAGTTCATATATTTTGAACTGCGGTTATTGATACGTACGATGCACGATCCTCGCAGTAGAGACCGCTACGGCCTGCTCCCAGTTGGCTTGTTAGCTCAATTGGTAGAGCGCTGCACTAGTATCGCAGAGGTCAGTGGTTCGAATCCCGTACAGGCCTGATTTTTTCAGGTCTGATTTTCGCTATTGCTTAAATAGCGCTATCTACTGCGAGGATCGTGCAAG